GTGAATGATGGTAAGCTGGAGCCGAGGGCGGTAAAATGCATATTTCTAGGGTATGCAACAGGAGTAAAAGGTTATCGACTGTGGTGTACAGAAGGTAAAAATCCTGGTAAATTTCTTATTAGCAGAGATGTAACCTTTGATGAATCTGCTATGCTTGATCAGAGTAGAGGTTGTGAAAGTATTGCAGGTACAAAAGATTGTGGTGCTAACCAGAGGGTGGAGTTTGAGACTCCTGACAGAGTTGTGTTAGAGGAAAAGCAGCAGGATAATACTATTGATCAATCCGATCAACCAGATCAGTCAAAACCTCAAGGGAAACCGGTTGAGGGGGAAGCTGATGACGCTGGTACTGGGGTTGAAGATTCCATAGCAGCAAGAAAGGGAAAGAGAAATATTCAGAAACCAGCTAGGTTTGCAGGATGTGTCAATACGTGTGACATGGATTCTGTTGCTTATGCACTAGCGGTTGGTGATGATCTTGGCTCTGATGAGCCAAAGACATATAAAGAAGCTGTGGCGAGTAAAGATGCAGAAACCTGGATTATGGCAATGAATGAAGAGATGCAGTCTCTTGAAAAGAACAAGACTTGGGATCTTGTTGCACTACCAAAAGGGGTGAAGCCAGTGGGATGCAAGTGGGTCTTTAAAAGAAAGGAGGGAATTCCTGGTGTTGAACCTGCTAGGTTCAAGGCGAGACTGGTGGCAAAAGGGTTTTCACAGAAGGAAGGAATCGATTACCATGAAGTCTTTTCTCCTGTGGTGAAACACAAAACCATTCGGGTTCTTTTGGCAATGGTGGGTGCTTTTGATCTGGAGCTGGAGCAGCTTGATGTAAAAACAGCATTCCTTCATGGTAACCTAGAAGAACAGATTTACATGTCTCAACCGGAGGGGTTCTACAGTTCTAAAGGGGACCAGGTATGCTTGTTAAAGAAATCTCTGTATGGCTTGAAGCAGTCTCCGAGGCAATGGTACAAGAGATTTGACTCATTCATGGTGTCTAATGGTTATACTCGTAATCAGTTTGATAACTGTGTTTACTCGAAGAAAGTTTCTACTGATTCCTTTGTGTATCTGCTGTTGTATGTGGATGATATGTTAATTGCAGCTAAAAATATGGCTGTAATTAATGACTTGAAGGCTCTACTAAAGGGTGAGTTTGAGATGAAGGATTTGGGTGCGGCAAAGAAAATACTTGGTATGGAGATCTGGCGTGATAGAGAAGCAAGACGGTTATGGGTTTCTCAAGAAAAGTATATTGAGAAAGTTTTGCAAGCATTCTCTGTTGAGCAGTCCAAACCGGTAAGTACCCCTTTGGCGGCACACTTTAAACTTGATCGAAGCACTATACCGGCTACAGATGAAGAGGTTAGTTACATGAAGACGGTTCCATATTCAAGTGCAGTTGGAAGTCTTATGTATGCGATGGTATGTACGAGACCGGATCTCGCTTATGCGGTTAGTGTGGTGAGCAGGTTTATGGCTAATCCGGGTAAAGCTCACTGGGGAGCTGTAAAGTGGATCTTGCGATATTTTAAAGGAGCGTCTGATATTTGTCTGGTATATGATGATAAAGGCCATGGTGATGGTCTTGTTGGCTATGCAGACTCTGATTACGGGGGTGACTTGGTGAAACGAAGATCACTAACTTGTTTTATCTTCACTTTGTTTGGATGTGCAGTCAGTTGGAAGTCTACTTTACAACCTACGGTTGCATTGTCGACGACTGAGGCGGAATACATGTCAATGACTGAAGGTATTAAGGAGGGTATCTGGTTACATGGTCTGGTGCAGAGTTTGGGTCTGAAGGTGGAGAAACCGGTGTTATTCTGTGATAGTCAAAGTGCTTTGAGTTTGGCTAAAAATCCAGTGTATCATGAGAGAACCAAACATATTGATGTAAGGTTGAATTTTATCCGTGATGTTCTGGAGGAAGACAAGTTTTCTATTCAGAAAATAGCTACAGAGCACAATCCAGCTGATATGTTGACAAAGGCGCTACCGACGGAGAAGTTTGAGCACTGCTTGAACTTGGTGAATATTCGTAGGAGGTAAAGCCCTCTCGGGGCATCTGGCAGGAAGGAGACGACTGAGAGATACTGACAAACCTTTGGCGGTTGGAGAAACTCCAAGTCAAGGTGGAGATTGTTGAAACGTGACTTGGATTTAGCGGTCTACCCAACCCTAAACCAAAGCGAAAGGGCTGTTTCAATTGGCAGGGTTCCTTTTGGGCTTATCCTAATTAATAACAAATAGGCTTAAGGTTTAGGGTGTTTTGGGGTGCTTATAAATAGACAACTATGGTTCTTAGTCGGATGACACATTGTAAATCTCTGAATCAGTATAATAAAATCTCTCCGGTTCCTGCCCGTGGACGTAGGTTGACACACCGTCACCGAACCACGTAAAACCTCTGTGTTCTTTATTTGCTTTCTTTCTCGTTTTTCTCATAACAAGTGGTATCAGAGCCTAGTTCGTTGATAGGGTGGATTGAGAGGAATCGGACGTTGGATCGTCGTGGGAATCCCTTGTGACCTGCGGAGGTGCCTTGTGTCGAAAGTCTCCTGGCGGTGTTGGGTCGGTCCCGACTGGTAGGTCAGGCAGCGAGTCCCTTTGTGATAGGCGGTGCAAGGTTGGCAGGGAAGGATAAGGGTTTCGGAAAACGCAGCGGAGGAGATATCCGATGTGCTCTCATATCAAATGAACCTTGGTTTGTTTGTGGGAGTCAAGATGGGTGATCGTAGTGTTGTCAAGGTATTCGATGGTATGAACTTCGATTTCTGAAATATGCAGATAGAAGATTACATGTATGGTAAAGATCTAGATGCGGTATTGAAGGAGAAATTCGAAGACATGGATGAAGCCAAATACAAGAAGATCGACAAGAAGACGATGAGTGCGGTTCGACTAACCCTTTGGGAGAATGTCTCGACTGAATTTAGATTTGAGGCAAAAAGAAAGGGTGAAGATCAAGAATGGTCAAAGTTGAAGCCGAAGAATAAGGACAATGAAGATGCAAGTCAGGTGGTATATTGGAACTGCAAGGGGCACTTGAAACGACAGTGTAGGGCGCCGGAGAAGGATCAGGGTTCAGCAAACGCAACGGAGGAGATATCCGATGCGTTGATTCTGAGTGTCAGCAGTCCAATGGAGTCATGGATTTTGGTCGAGCATCATTCCACTCATGCAGTGATTCGAGAATCATGGAATCCTATACCACAGGTAATTTTGGTGTTGTCTATCTTGGAGATGATGAGACACTGAAAATTGTAGGTAAAAGAATGATTCGAATCAGAACACCGAATGGTGGGGAGTGGAAATTGGATGAGGTATGTTGAAGTAGAAGATGAAATCAGTCTTCAAGTGGGAGATTGTTGGGATATGAAGTCTGATTATATCCTAAAATCTAGGGATATGATTTGAATATTATATTTTAGATTTTATAGATATGATTTGGATATTATTGTCAAAGGCTTAGGCTATAAATATCCATATATTTTCACTTTAACATGTGCCTGCGTACTTGATAGTAAAATTCCTGGCTTGGCAGCGCCCCCAGACGTAGATCATCGTGATCGAACTGGGTTACCAATTCTTTTGTCTTTATTGTCTCGTTTTGATTTTCTGGAATTTCCGTAACAATATGATTTTCAATATATATTATATTATCGACACGATTTCTTATATTACAAGTTACAAAAAAAATTCAAATCAAAACACTAAAGAAAAAAACTCTATATTAAAACTCTAATTAAATTAAAATCCAAATAATAATAATAATAATAATAAAAAACACAAACTAAACAAACACAACTTTTAAAATTTATAAAACAAACACACCCTTTTTAATTTATATGTACTTAAGTAGTTGTTTATTTATGATCATGTTTGGTGTAAAATGTTGTAATAAAAAAATTATACTCCCTCCGTCCCATGTAATATGGGTGCATTACCATAGACACGATAATTTAGGTAAAATATAATTAGTAAGTAAAGAAGTATATTAGTAAAAATAATTAAATATTAAGATTAAGATAAGTAAATAGATTAATTAAAAATTAAGAAAATTATAAAATTTAAAATTTAAAATGCGATTAAAGTGCATAATTATATTTCTAAAAAAAAAAAGACAAGTTATGTGAGACAGACGAAAATAGAAAATAGAAACAAATTATGTGAAACGGAGGGAGTATTGTGTTAATTATTCTCTCCGACCATGATCTATGTACCCATAAGTGGCAATGGATATATTAACTATTAAAAATATAAAACAAAAATTTAATACAATATTTTTTAAATAAGAAATAATTCCTATTCACGATATGTCAAAAATGTTTAATACTATATTTTTTATTTTTTTATTTTTTGATGACCTGAGAACCAACGATGTTTAATACTATAATTTACCTTTTGCAAAAATAGTTTTCAAAACATAACAAACCAAATGTTTAGACATCTAATTAAAAAGATAATATTGTTTATAAACCACATACTCCTTGTTATTTAAAATTACATGAGACTTACTCAACCTCTTTTCAAAGAGATTTTATGAGGTTTGATAGTGAATTAAAAAACAACATTATTTTATTAATTAATAAAAAATTGTAATAACTTATGATTTTTTTGGCCATTGACTTGTTGCATAAAATAATTATGTGAAAATCTTTATAGTTTTAATAAAAATTTAAAATATTATGATATTCATATATAATTATTTTTTAAAAAAAAATACGGAGGAAAATAGTAAAGAAAAAATATTCTGAATTAGAATGAAAAAATACTGTACAAAATTTCTTTAAAATTGCATAAAATTCTTTTGTATTTTTATAAACATTGCAGAGGATTCTCTTATAAAAATTGTGTAATATTTTTTTAAAACATGAAAAATAAAAAATAAAAAAATTGCAGAATTTTAAATTATAAATGAGTTTTAAATAATTTTGTCATCTAATAAATGTACCAAGATGGAATTCTACTCGGGGCAATCCACGCCCTTCATCCCGCGGGTCCCAACCCGCAAATCAACGGACCTGATTTATTGACCGAAAGGTAAAAAGGGTTGATGAGGAATCCGATACCTCAACTGGACGACTACACAAAATTCAGACAGCAACAACACCTGTACGAGGTTCTCTCACTATTTCTATGGCTTCTCTCACTGTGTGTGTGTAATAATACGTCTCTATATATATACATACAAACAAGAAGATTGAAAAAATAAACACATTTTAAAAAAACAAAAACCTTCGAAAATCCACGTGGCAAATCCAACCGTTGTAACAATTATGTATCTTCTCTAGTTTGAGCTTCTCGCCGATAGGTTCTCCTGCACAAGTCCGGCCTTAAAACATTACCAATGTATTTCAATTTAAATATATATTAAAAAAAAAGAAGCCTACATATAAATTTTATTGAATAATTCATTAGATCATTTTGTCAGATTAGGAGCTTCTGTACATATTTTTCGCTAACACGGAGATAGATATGCAACAAAAAAACATGTCCTCCATCCGTCATGCAAATGTATTCTCATTTGATCGGACACAAATTTTAATAAAAGATGGGACACAAATTTTAATAAAAGTCAGTAATAATTGTTATTTATTTCTTTTATAATAAAAAAAATACAAAAATATAATGATGTTTTACTTAAAAAAGAAACAAAAATATTTTTTTTATGACAATCCAAAAAAAATGAGCAAGAATTTGAATGCTTTGAATTTGAATGCTTTGAATGACGGACAGAGTAATATATTAGTACATTCTAATTCGATATAGAAATTTTTAAAAAATATATTATATTGAAAAGGTGATAAAAAATTAGTTAGAGGTTTTTTTTTTTAAATTTTAATTAGTAATTAAAGAAAATGTAATAAATAGTTAAATGTTCTTCTTTATTTTGTCAAAATTAAAATAAGGTAAATTTGAAGAATTACAATAAAAAATGAAAATAAATTTGATGGACAGACATAATATATATATATATATATATATGGATAGAGAGAGGGTACTTACATTGTGATCACATGTAATGTAAGAAACTACGACAGTGATGTCGTCAAGTTTACCGCCGTAGTAACGGAAGCCGGCTTCTTGTGCTGCCGTAGAGAACGGAGTCTGCCGGTCCTTGTCCTGAGCTCGTTGTCGTGCCAAGGCTGCAATTTTCTGCGCCGTTACCTGAGGGCCCAAGCCTGCTCGCATGCCATGTACCACAACGGCCGCGATTTCATTGTTATACAAGTTGTCGAAAAGCCCATCAGTCCCGGCAATTATAACATCTCCCGGAGCAACAGGTACTTTGAACACCTGCGCTGGATAGTTAATCGAAAATAAACCTTGCAAAAGGAAGCGTCAAAATATATAGAAACAAACATGTGATTTATGTAAACATAATACAAATAAAACTAACAACACATAAAACAGTTTCACGCAACATATGTTACTGTTGATTTAAAAATTATATTCATACATTACATTTACAAATATGAACTAACAACACATATTTTTAAAAAAAAACAATATATATGTTGTTTTCTAGCCTTATATGTGCTTGTTGTGACCGATTAGAATTAGTGATCGAATAACAAACAAAAACGTAAAGAAGACACAGATTTAGTAAAGAGGACGACAATATTACATATTATAGATTTTATATCTCTAAATCTATTTAAATAAACTAAGAGAATACATAAGACGGACTCAATCTAATACCAACTCAAAAGCCCAATGTTGCATACCATGGGCCAGCGTCGGGCCAGGGGCCACTCCGCGCCCCCAGACCCAGGCAAGGGGGATCCCCCTTGACACCCCGAGTCACTGACCGGACAGCAAGACGAGACCTCTGTAAAAACTTAGAGAAGTGACAAACTAAATTCAAGACATATCAACAATGTTTAAGGCAATTCCGCCCTATTCAAGATCAAGTCAAGAAATGATTCGAGAAAACACTAGTCTTGCCAATGAGTTGAACAAGAAATAATCATCGATTTTAAAATTTACTTAACAAAAGGCGTAAAGGCAAATCGATAGAAATGAAGAGTAAACCAACCTGTCCAGAGCTAGGCAAATCGCCAGCATCCCCGTTTGCCAACTGGTAAGTAAAATTGAAATCGTGCTGCTGAACAGGGGATTTGAAAACCGTACATCCATCTCTAACTACCATGAATCCGCTGTCGCCTAAATTAATGGCATGGAGACCCTATGCCGTTTGAGAAATATCGATCGTCAATGCAAAGTTATCAGTACAGATATGGTTTATAAACAAGTTCTTTTTTTTCCTTTTTTTTATCAATGATCGAGCATCTCCTAAGAAGTAAATTACGGTGATTCGAATTGGATAGTAAGTATATACCTGATTAGTGAGAACAATGATACAAGCTGTTGACGACCCTTTAGCTTTTGTGCTAGAATAGGCTTTCTCGAGGACCCGGGCTGGGTCGATAGAGCCCCTAGGTTCTTCCCGAATTGCATTAGCAGAATTAGACATGAGCTCGCGAGCATACTGCCCGGCATCAATGCCTAAATCAGCCCATCCGCCGACACCATCAGCTACCCCAATGGCTTGTTCATCTGTGCAAATGAAATGAGCATCCTCTCCGCCAGTTTCTTCTTTATCCGGATGAGGCAGGTAACACGATGCTGAATTTAATTTCAGAGTCCTGTCGATTGGAACATTCCTACAACCAATGACAAATTAAAATCACCAAGTTATGATAATATAGGAATTATTTCAAGTTACTGTTTTAATGTGACATTCTAGTTTACTTCAACAAAATTAAATGATACATACAGCTCAGGGGGATCAGAACTTGAATGCAGCTCCTCTTTCATCGAATCCATGGATACTTCTGGTGCAGTGCCGGTAGATGAACACGCACGTGACGAGATATGTAAACACTCAAACCCGACACCCAGAAATGAATTTCTGTTGCCTTTCGTCTTTGCAAGACTAACTGTGAAGTAGCCACAGTGCAAGAAGTTATTTAACTTCTCTTTATTACTCAAACTCATGGTGGCTTTTCGATAGTTTTCAAAGCAATTTCGGCTACAACAATTGGAAGTCTGATTCGAACAGAGGCCAGGCTGGGAGGGCTTCCAAGTCAAATTACGAATACCACAGTTAGCGAGAGTTGATCGAGACCCACAAACGGCCATGGGAACCTTACACGAGCTAACTCTCGAAATTGGACTAGCTTCTGACATCAAACAATCAGTATGATATCCACTCACCTGAAATGGAGTCCTTGGGGAAGATGATATAGAAAAGGCACGAGAAACTGGGCAACGAGCCGAAAGATTCCCCGATTGATTGTGTAAGTGCAAACTTGCTTGAGCAGCAGCAACAGCACTGGTCCGAACAAACAAATCCAAATCAGTAGATGTTCCCAAGGGTAAGAAATGTAGCAGCCTCAAATGGCCAATCGAAAACTTCCCCTGGCCAATCAATGCATCTAAATGATCTTGGATCCAAATTTCCTTCCCATATCTCCAAAAACCTCTCGGAATTGTTCCACGGAGTTTTGATAAATAATACGACGGCATTTCGTTCGAGCAATGCAGACCTGATACGCTTACGCAGCAGAAAACACCTCTACTCCCAATCCAACATTTCACCACTACTCATCCAAGACAGAATCTGTATTCAAAGGACAGATAATAATCAGAAAATCCAAACACTAATCGAGGCATTATGCAATTATAGCCAAAGTTTTAATAAAATCAATGAAATAAGTCCATTCTCATACCAAAAAGGAATCAAATAATCAAATCGTTCGAGAAAAACGTAGTGAAATCCAGCAAGTTTCCGCCATTGTTCACCGCATAACAACAACATATCTTACCGCCAATCCAAAAAACAAATAGAAGCAAATATATCACGCAAAAACGAACACGAGAAACACAAACGAACAGCTAAAAAAGGAAAGCACAACCGTCAGCTCCTATCATCGAGGAACTACAGAGCAATCCCTACAGAATCCGTAAAATCCGCTAACAACGCTCCTAAAGCTAAACAAAAGTAAGATATCAATCACAGAACTATCGATCGATCTGCACATTCGTCAAAGGCAAATTGAAAACTGTAGTACCTTCTCGGATGGGATTCGATGAATCGGCAAAGTCCAGAAGCCTCCAGAAGCAAATTCCCTCCAACAAACAAACCCTAATTAGCAGCTGACTAATTTGGGAATTAAAAAATTACTCAACTTTTGCCCAACGGCTACAAATATTTAGTGCCTTCGAGGAGAAGATTTCTGACCGCCGATTTGCTTCCCAACCAACGGCTCAGATTGATCGGAAAAAGAATAAAAAATTCCGTTGCCGGGAATCGAACCCGGGTCTCCTGGGTGAAAGCCAGATATCCTAACCGCTGGACGACAACGGATCGTTGCATATCTTAACCAAAATTAATTTATATAATTATTATAATTTATTATTTTTACATTTTCAAGAAACTTTATCCGGTAAGAAAATTCATTTTTCTTTTTATAATAAAAAAAACTAATCAGTAATATGGATATTTGATTTGGGTATTACTTCGGTCAGGTATTTTATATATTTTCAAAAGAATTGATAATTATTAATAATATTTAAAAAATTATATATTTTATCAACGTGAAAAATCTTTAAAACTTCAAAACTCAAAATGTTTTAAGCAATAGTAATATTTTAATATTAAAATAATATATATTTTTGAAAATTTATTTAAAAAAAATTATAAAAAAGATTGACCTGAGAAGTGAAAAATAAAAATAATAAAATTATAAATAAAATTATTTATTATAAATAAATTATATATAAGTTTAATATGTAGTGAAAAAAAAAAAAAAAAAACTTGCATAATTATAGCAGATGAAAGAAAGTATTATACAATTTTCTATTTCTTTGTTTAAAATATATATATTATTTTTGTTTTGATAAGTTGCATAATACCTGCAAGATCTTATAATTTATTTGTTGCGTAAAATTTTCTGTTAAATTAAAAATATACACAAAATACCATTTAATTTAAAATTGATGTTTAACTGTAAATATGTATCTAATTATGTAGTCTTAATATTAAAAAAAAAAACAGAAAAAAAGTAAAATATTTTAAAGTTTTTAAATTTTAAGTGAAACGAATCCCAAAAATAGTTTTTAAAAATGTAATATATACACAATAACATAATACTCAATTAGTTCTAATTTATCTTTTTGAATTTTCGTCTGTCTCGTACAAAAGTATTAATTTTTAAATTAGCTAAATTGCACAATAAGTTTTATGAAATTGCGTCAAATCCTCTATACTTTTAAAACTGTGTCAAACTTTATCGTGGTTTCATAAATTCAACGTCTAACCCTTCGGCGGTCATTATTTAACAGTATTTGACCTAAATACATTCAAACTGCAAATAAAATTTAATATCTCAATTTCTAAACCCTTAAAATTAGAAATATATTGATTTTTCTTATATTTAGCCTAAATAGTAAAAATAAATTGCACAATACCTGTAGTAAATTAAAAAGGCTAAATTGCATTATTTGACGCAATTTCATGAAACAACAGATATTGTGCGATTTAGCTTTTTAAATTTAATAAAAGTAATAATGCATTAATATCAAACTATCATTAATTTTTACTTAAATTATAAATATATCATTGTACATACAATTATTTTATACATAAAAAAAAGTCAAATGACAAAAATGTCAAAATATCTTGTACACTTCCATTAACTAATAAAATAATACTTCCTCCGTCCCAACTTTTACAAACTACCAATATAATATCAATATTCCTTAAATCTTGTGCCCAACCCAATTAAGACTATATTTATGGGACAGAGATAGTAATATTTTTTAATCTACTACAAAATCCTAAAGTAGATTCTAAATGGATGAAGGGAGAATATATTTTTTACTCACATACAAAAAATCAATAATTTAATAAAAATATTATTTTTTATATCATCAATAATTTTTCATAATATAAAAATTAAACTCATCTATAAAAACACACTCCTTATTTGAATAAAATAAATAAATAAATAATTGACCAATATTTTATTTTATAATTTTTATTTTTCATTTTTCGTAACATTTGGTAGCAATTCGTACAAAAAGATTATTAAATAACTGGTTAATAAATTATTTAATTATTTATTTTATTCTAAAATTACTTCAAATATTTTATTTATTTATTTATTTATTTTATCAAATTTAAATAATTAAGTGTTTGCTTAAAATAAAAAAAGATATTAAGGAGAAATATTATAATTTATTGTCGTGACACATATGTTTTATGTGTCATTTAATGCCATGCGTCAATGTTTTCTATAGACACAAAATCATATACTCCATTTGTTTTTTTATATAGTTTCAGAAATATTAGTATTATATTAAGATATAATAGGATCATATTAGTATATGTGATATAAAAGTAATGGCATTTGTGTAATATATTGTTAGTTGTAAGGGTATTTGTAATGTTAGGTAGATAGTACAGTTACTAAAAAAAAATTGATACTTTGTTATGGTACGGACTAAAATAGAAAAATGAACACTTTTTATTGGACGAAAGGAGTTTGTTAAGGAATCGTTGTATGAAATATATCTATAAATTGGCTTTGATTCCATAAATAAAAGAATATATGTTTTACTCTTCTGTCTGTCTCTCTCTCCCTCTCTGTCTCTATATCTTACTATCTCTCTCTTTCAAATTCAAACACACAAACATAGAAATATATATATATATATATAATATATTTTATCATAAAATTCTGTCTTAACCATACTTTATTATATATATATATATATTTATATTAAGTTATAAATTTTATAACATTTATCATTTTTATTTTTATTAACTTCTACTAAACTGATGTTGTGTTCTCTATTCTTTTGGGGTTTAACAAGGATCTTTAATTTTTCTTTACTTTGAAAAAAAAAAAAAAAATGTAATAAAATTTTTAATTTTATTTTTTTTAAATCATTTTAAAAATTAATTTACTAAAAATATCATATAACTATTTATTTATATGAAATCAGATAATTATTTAAATTTAATTTTTCATTATTCAAAAACTAAACACCTTAAGTGCAAAAAAAATTTTGTAAAAGAAACGAGCCCTTATTTTTCCGTGTATTTAATTACCCACTTTTTCCAACAATCATGTATTTATTAATAAATAAAATTAATATTTTACTTGGGAATAAAATTAGAAATATTTAATTTATGCATTAAAATATATATGAAATAGGCAAAAAAATTTCAAACTTTTCGACCTGCGCTCCAACTTAAATTTGACCCTAACGAGCTGAGCTATTTTCTTCTTTATAACAAGTAAAAAACACGAATTTTCTATCTTGTAATTAAATAACGTAACCGAGAATATGCAAAAACAATTTTCTCCACTGATTTTCTAGAATGATCGATCGGATTGTATTAAACAACAAAAATGTTCCCCAGTATTGTATTTTCACTTTCTTCCACTGCTCTTCTTCTTATCGGACTTCTTTTTCCCTCTGCGCTGCTGCGGTTTGCTCTTGAGATATGAAACTCTGTCCGCCTTCTGTAGTCGATTTTTTGCAACTTTCTCGACATCTCTAATTTCCGAACGGACATGAGCATTTGGAATCGAACTATGTGGTTTCCTCCCTTTGAATCTCCGGTTATCCCCACCAAATGCAGGACGACCTTTCAACAAAAATGTCGCCAAGATAAAATAGAGATTCTCAATATAATTCTTCAAACTAAATAGAGAGCTTTTCATATCTACGATCTTTTTTATTTCTTCGAAAACGAAATCCCTCTAAAGATGTCATAGGAAAAGACTAGAGCAAATGAAGGCATATAAAAATCTCACCTGAAGAACTACCAGCTCCCTCGGCGCTGTCGCCGCCGGTGCCTCTCAGAGATACATTCTTGTGTGTCCGTTGTTTCCACTTCTTGTATATTCCGGACTTCTTTGTTTTCACTTTCGCGCCACTTTCTGTTTTTATCTGTGAACCGGAAATTAACATAAAAATTCGTTAACCCAATCAACCACATATCAAATCAGTCAGAAGACGTGGGGAGGAGAGGAAAAAAAAAAAAAAAAATCATTCATATGTAGTGTCCAAATATAATACCTTCCCGCTGGCTGTCACTCGATCTCCATTGTTCAGCTTCACGTACTTTTTGCTTCTCTGTGACAAATACAAGACATTAAAATTTGAAATATGGTCGCGGCTCGTATTGTATTGCATTGATATGCACCTTATCCCAGTGATACAAAGACTTCTGCTTATGCAATCCTCCGGAGTCATCGGCATTTAGATCAAGAACAGCATTGTCTAACCTGTGCATTAGCTACCAAATGTCAATTATCCGTCCCGATATAAACAGATTCTCCGTCATCAATTCTACAACATAAATGAATCCTTTTCCTGTAAATTAAACTCAAAGATCCTTTTATAAGATAATTAATACTATGAGCCATATATAATATCGCACAAGAAAATTTAGATCTATTGCAAGGCTAAAGGACACCCACGCAGTATATTCGTGATGCTGGAATGAAAAAATGTGGATGCTATATGAAATAAAATATTCTAATATCGATCACCATCCATACCTATTTGATTCAAGGCCTGGTCCAGCTCGAACAGAAAGCCCTGCTTCAAAGTGCTGAGACATAGTTTCCAAATTGTATTAAATTGTATACAACGCCAATTAATAAATAGTGGCAAAAATGCAGAATATACACCCCAATTAAAAATAAATAAATAAATAAAGCAACTCACCTGATTTGTTGGCACACAACTAATGAAATACTCATCATCTTTGAAGCTCTGCGACTTCCTTTTGGTTCCCGAAACTGTCAGCACAATTTGGTAACATTATAATAACTAGCTAAAACTTATAATCTAAATGCTTATAGCATATTGCATCACAATCCAATTGATCATCATCTCCTAAGATAATCACATAACGTTGAAAGGCAGATAAAGTTGATAGTTCCATCTAATCTCATTCAGGAGTCTACGGAAAGTTAGTTATAGGGAATCAACACAAACACCTTAATGGTATCTTCTATTCATCCCAAACATTACTATTTCTCGAACCCTTTCGTACTATTACTAATTGCATCTAATTCATGCTTATATGCCATTTCCTTGTTTCCTATCCAATTCATAGCACATCATTTTTACATATGCCACATTCCAAGTACCTTGCTTCTGCTTGTTACTCGAAGAAATTTGTTCTGGTTCTTTTTCCTGGAACAATGAAAATTCTTCATTAGTAAAATGACGAGAAGCAAACATCAAGAAAAAGGAACTATTCTGTGATTCAATGCACCCACATCTGTGATCTGCATGGTGGCTAATGCAAGATGTGTTCGATAAGACCACAAATTTGTGAAAATATCATAAAAATTGTTAAGAATCACATCGAACAGAAGTATCATTCCATTTTAGAGGAGACAATAATCTGTACTCCACCAATTCTCAACTAAAAAGAAAATGATTGAACAAATTACCTTTGCATCATGATCTTTCGAATGCTTTTCAAGAACTTTATTGATCACCCCTTCATGAATGGCTCTTTTCATCTTCATTATATCAACCCACTGGCTAGAAGCACCCTGAAATTTCATCTTATCATCAAATTTGAATCAATAATGACACAAAATTCAGTAAGGGTTAAACTATACAAGCTGATTTACCTGTTTGTTTTTCGATTTTGCAGCCTCACCTTCAGCTTCCAAGATGGTTTGCTTTGGCCTATAAAAGATAGTTGTGTAAAATCATTAGTTACCTGCGTACTCTTTGAAAACTGTTCTTCAAAGTGGAATCGGTACTCACCTAAATACTTTCAGGCGTTCAGAAAAGGCTAAAGCTGTTAACTCATCACCACCCAGGACATTTTTAAACATTGGATGTAGACCTTCACGAGGCAAGTTCTTTACTCTTTTAATAGATTCTCTAGATGGCTTCGCTTTCGTATTTGTGTACAAGCTGAATGCCCTGGTAGAAGGCTTCAGTAATGCATCTAGTTCACTAGACGAATCCATTATCTCACGAGCTCTGTCTGAATACAGATCAATAGCTCTCTGAGGGAAACGTCCATAAACAGTTTCCCCATTCGCCACAGCTTGATCAATTTTAGTCAAAACACCATCCATATCTCTAAGAACCTCTTCTTCTGATGGAGCAGGTCGAACGGGTTTCGAGAGAAAGAGATGGAGATCTAACAAGTAAGCCATGTCTTCGGATGTAACAAAAGAAAATGCCGTACCAGTCCGACCAGCCCTAGCAGCTCGCCCCACACGGTGGACAAAAAGTTTTGGTTTAGGTGGGAAATCAAAATTGACGACATTGTCCAGCAAAGGTATATCAATTCCCCGTGCAGCCACATCTGTCACTATCAACAGCATAGTCTTTCTGGACCTAAATTTTGATATATGGATTTTTCGGGCATCTTGATCCATATCACCGTAGCAAACAGATGCCACTATACCATCTTCTCTGAAGAGTGTATTAAGAAATTCCACATGATACTTGGTCGAAACAAAAATTAATGTTTGATGATCGGCGCTTATGTGCTCCCTAATCAAATACAGAAGCGCCGCATATTTTTCCTCCTGCCTTAAAGTGAAAAACGTAAGCTTCAGGTCCGGGCTAATTTTCGTCTCCAAATCAAGCCTTACTAGCTGCGGATCCCTTAGACCAGCCTTGGCAAACTCGGCAAGGGCACTCGGTAGAGTTGCACTAAAGAGCAATGTCTGCCTATTCTCCCCCAGCTGACCAAGAATTTTATGTAATTGTTCGGCAAATCCCATGCTAAAAAGGCAATCGGCTTCATCAAAAACAACATATTCTACCGTACGCAATGACATGTCATCAACCTCTTCCAGATGATGCATAAGCCTGCCAGGCGTAGCTATTATGCAATCAGGATTCTGTGCCAATTCTTCGAACTGGCTTTCCATACTATCACCACCAACCAATAAACTAGCACGAAGGTCTACAAATACAAGAAAATAATTCAACAGTCAGTAATACTCGGTGTACTAAAAATTTCCATTTGGACACAACAAAACCAAATTTTAGATATAATATCTTTTCGAAGAATTCCTATCAAAATTTAACTCAAAATCCGATTTTTTTTTTAAAACTTACCCAAAACTTAACGGAATTTATTTATTTTTCTAGAAAGAAATATCTAAAATTTCATTAAATACATCCCAACTAATTTCCATGATTTCTTTAAAATCGAAGGCTAAATTTTCTGTAAATTTACATGTCCAAAATCAACTCCGATACTGAAATTTGATACCTTGGTAATACCTAATGTCAATAACGTGGAGGATTCAGTTATTTAGAAGCTAATAAAGCAACCAAACACAAATGCCCAAGAACTTCTATCCTCATTCTGATAATCCACACATCATAAGCCATAATCAAACCCAACACTTCCAAAAACAATGCTTCTGTAAGATTTTAAACAGTATTTACCTGTAAAGCGACCGAGTTCCTTGGTAAACTTGAAAGTCTGGAGGGCTAAATCACGCGTGGGAGATAGAATCAGAGCCCTAACTCCAGCCTGCGGAACATGATGCTGGAGTCTCTGAAGCATTGGGATCAGAAACGCCGCCGTTTTGCCGGAGCCGGTGCGGGCCATGGCAACGACGTCGTATCCAGATAGAATTAATGGCATCGTCTTCCGCTGGATCGGCGTCGGCACTCTGTACCCCTTCTTCTTGACACCACTGTACACATTAGCGCTCAAACCAAGCGACTCGAAGCCGCCGGACTTGGATTTCTTTGCTTGCTTCTGTTTTTTCTTGAGATCCGTTTTCGAAGCTGCTACAATGGCCCCGCCTTTCGCCATTGCCGCCGAACCGCTTGCAGAATAAATCGTGTCCTTTGTATAGGTTCTAGGGAGAAGGAAGACGAAGACGGCGGCAGAAAAAGGTAAGAGGGAGATGAAGATGTAGACGAAGACGGCGGCGCTCAGGAAGACGATGACGACAATTACTTTGAAGAGATACGGCGGGGCAGACGCTCGAGGGATTAGGGTTTTACTTTTTATTTTTAAATTTAATTAGTATATTGTATATTTATTTAGGAGAAATAGGGTGTGTTTGTTGTGGATATGATTTTTGAATTTGAATTTTTAAATTTGTAAAATTTTGAATTTGAATAATTATTTTATATGATATTATTTAAAATATATTAAAATTAAAGAGTTTGTTTTTATTTTTTTTTAGACTAAATATAAATATTAAAAAATTAATATATTTTTATTTTAGAGATTTAAAAATTAAAATTATAAAATTTATTCAAATTTTAGCCATTATATCTAGTAGAGTTTAGTAAAACCCCTAACTTGTTTCGAATCCGACCGGATCTAAAATTCAAAATCCACAACCCGTCTTGAACTAATTTTTTTAGACCCTTCCCATTAAGATCATGTCTGGAGCTAACTTGTTCCATTTGACATTCTTATCTAAGAGAGTTTGACGCCAATTTTAAAAATACGATAGATTTTGTGCAAAAATATATGTGAATTCTGTGAACAAACTAAAATAATAAGTGGACTCAATTACCAGACTAAAAAACAATTTTTTCTATAATCCAAAATATGATTAATAAATAATATAATTATAAGACTAATTATCTTGCAAACCAGTATGGCAGGTAACCCCACGCTCACAAATCAAACTCTTTTACTAGCAATCCCTTAATGGACGACAAATCATTTATTCTTGATAATGCGATTATTACATCGGATTAAACAAAGAAACCGCACCCTATGAGTAATAATAGTGAAATTTGTATTTTAATTAAATTACAGTCAAGAAAATGGATTCACTTTCACTGTGTTTATGTTTGAATAGAGGCTTTGTTTTTTTTTTTTTTTTTTTTTTTTTTTTAAAGAAAAAGATTACTTCAATTATTTTTTTAATATTTGTTTTCAATAAAAATATATCAATTTTCATACATAATATAGGTTTAATCACTTAAAGAATATTATTTTTTAATAATAATTTTTCATAAATATTATTTAAAAAATACAAAATTTGTTTATAAAAAAAAAAAATTCAACACAAATTTTAATATATATATATATATATTATTTTCTCCAAAAAAATCATTTCTTATACTTTACATATAAATATCAAATAACTAAACAAATAAATCCACGATATACGCACCTTAATACAATATATTCTCTCCGTCGCTCAAATCTATTTTCACTTTTTTTTTAATTGTCATCCAAATTTATTTTCGTTTTTTTAGTAAATACCACTTTTCTTTTTTAAAAAAAGTAAAATTTTTTATTCTTACATATTTTTCTTAAAACTCGTGTCCGGTCAAATGAGCACACAATTGGACGACGGAGGAAGTATATAATACTCCCTTCGTCTCATATCTATCTATCTCGTTTGCTTTTTGGACGAAATTTTAAAAATATTAGTATGATATTAAAGATGTAATAAAAATAAAGGTAAAATGACTAAAATGCCTTAAGATAAAAATTTGTTATAGTGATATATTTGTAATATAGTGTAAATTTAAGAGTAATTTTAGTAGTATATAGATATCAGAATTACTTAAACAAAAAAATAGATATTTTGTTTTGAGACAAATTAAAATAAAAAAAATAAAAAAGATAATGGGAGTATATACTTTATTCACTTAAAAAAAATAAAAAAAATAAAAAAAATTAATCTTATCCAAGATATTATTATTATTATTTATTTTATTTTTTTTCAGCAATGATCGTCTCAACTACTTTACAACATCAAACTCAAATCCAAACCTTGAAAGCAACATACTCTATACGCACATCTCACTTACCTGAAATTCTTCGCCTCATTAATGCCGCGTAAACCAAGGTTTTGCTACCCATCTCTTCCATAAAACGAAAGTATGCTTGTCTAAAACTCTTTTTCAAGACCAAGAATCCAACAAAACCCCAAAATCCGATGACAAAACCCCCAATGACAAATGCATACAACCATATTTTATCCTCTAAATCGATCTTTCCCGATGATGCATCATTTTCATCGTTTGATCCTTTCGGTGCTTCGTCGCCAAGACATCTCTTTGGCAACGGAGCACCGCAGAGTCGAGAATTGCCATCATAAATAGACGGGTCTTCAAGAGTTTGCAATTGCTTTCCGATAGGAATTGGTCCCGACAAATTATTGTTGGACAAGTTCAGGTAGCTCAGAAAATATAGGTTCGACAAACTATTGGGAATTTTTCCAAACAAATGGTTGTTCGAAAGATCAAGAGACTCCAAATACTTCAGATCCCCAATATTTTCCGGAATTCCTTTATCCAAGTGATTATACGAAAGATTAAGACCCCGCAAATCGACAAGATCCATCAACTCCGGAGGGATTTCCCCAACAAGATTGTTGCGCGAAAGATCCATATTAACCACATCAAATAAGCTTCCCCATCTATACTCCATCACCATTCCTTTCAACACTTGGCGTAAACTATCTTGATCCCAATAAAATTGGCCAAGTACATTCTTCTTTATCATGGCGGAGAAGTTCCCAAAGCAACGCGGGATGTATCCATTCAACTTATTGTTCCCGAGGTCTAGAACTTGAAGCCGAGAAGCTCGACAAAGCGTGCGAGGAATCGCACCATGAAACATATTGTCCCTTAATCGAAGAATTTCTATATCCGACATGTTATCTCCAATCCATTCCGGTATGCTACCGGACAACATATTTTCTCCTACATCCAACATTTTTAAACCGGTACAGTTCTGTAAAGTCGGGGGAATCCATCCTGAAAAGCTGTTGTTGCTCAATAGAAGCCACGACAAATCATAAGCCTCTCCAATGGATTCAGGAATGTTGCCCGAAAGCTTATTGGACGACAGTGCAAGAAAACTTAAACCCGGAAAGTTTTTCCAACAATCCGGCAAATTACCGGATATAAGATTCCTCGAGAGATCTATGAAGGTCAAAGCTCTCATCGCACAAAAAGAATCAGGTAACGAACCATTAATGGAGTTTCGCGCCAATATTAGAATGCCTAAAAGAGGTACGTTATTACCAATGTTCCTCGGAATGTGATCGATCATGTTGCCCGCAAGATCTAATGACGTCAATCCTGAAGGAAGCTTCTGGATTGCGCCATGTATGTGGTTATCGTAGAGGTCCAACTTTTGAAGATTCATGGCGCCGAGCCATTTTGGAAGAGTTCCCGAAATGCTACAATTTGCTAAATTCAACTCAATCAATGTAGTCTGAGTTTGAAGCCATGGTGGAAATGGACCTCCAATGTAGCAAGATCTCATAAGAAGAATCTTCAATCCAAAAGAAGGCATCCAACTCGATCCAACTGTAAAATTAATCGAGTTGGAGGTTAAGTCGAGGTGTTCCAATTTCGAGAGCTTGGCAAAATGAGCCTCAGAAATCGTTCCATTGAACGAGTTATACGAAAGATCAATCCACTCGAGTTTTGATAGTTGTCCTAGAAACACAGGAATCTCCCCGCTTAATTGATTACTATTTATATCCAATCTTCTCAATGCCTTCAAATTTCGAAAGGATGATGGAATTGAACCAACTAACATGTTAACGAAAACAATCAATACTTCTAAGCCTGATAAGTTCCCAATAGATTCAGGAATCGGACCGGTAATAAGCATATTAGTAAGTTCGAGATACATCAATTGTTTGATTTTGTCGAACTCGTTAGGTAAATCACCACTAAAGCCGTTGAAACCCAAACTTAGTGTCCTCAAGTTTTGACCCCAACATCCAGAAATGTTCTTGAAAGCTCCCGAGATCTCTCCATAAAAGAAATTATCGAAAAGATCTAACGACTCCAAGTGACATTTATCAGACATGAGTTCGGAGATCCAATTTGATGAACAATTAATAGCATTGCTCCCAAGGTTGAGATCTACAAGGTTTTTCAATCTAGGAAAATGGGTGGGAGAAAAATTGTAGTGATTGTTCGAAAGATCAAGAAACCTTAATGAAGTTATATTATGAAGAAAGCAAGGAACTTCTCCATCAAATGAGTTATAACTAAGATCCAAGACTCGGACACGCGAAAGGATTGTCGAATTTTGGCAGGCATGGGATAGATGACTATTGTTAAGTCCACTACTAGACATACGAAACTTTAATAAAGAAGGGAGCGCAGCGAGTACCTCAACTAAGTCATTATTTCGACTAAGACCAACCCCGCCCAAATCAAGAAGCTCCAATGATGTAAGATTGGAAACCCATGTGATATCATTCGATACAAGGTTGTTATAACCATGGAGATCAAGTTTGACGACGTGTCCTGAAGTCTCATTGCAGGTAACACCTTCCCATGTGCAACAATCTGCGTTACTCCATGAAGACAAACTATTTGAAGGATCGACAAAACTCGCTTTCAACTTGAGGAGAGCAACACAATTAAAAGATGTATTTTTGGCAACACACCCTAACTCCAAAACAAGTAATATCATTAAAAGGAGAAGAAAATTTTCAGATATCTTCATCATATGGCCACACAAACAGAAATGGAATGCAAAAAATATGTTTATGACGAAAGTAGATGCAGCTGCAGATGATCATGAACAAAGAAAGATTCACCGTTATTTATTATAGTTTTTTGGCTACCAATAATTCATCTATAGTGGAACAAATTAAAGTGATTGGAACACAAATAAAGCTCACCTTCAATAAACAAATGCACCAAAGCACTTTGTGCTAATGGAAGATAAAGTTCAAAGTTTCACTTGCTTTTATTTAATAAATGATTTGTTTCACGACAATCATTGATTGATTAGTGAGAACATTGAGAAATATATACTTTCTTCATACAACTTTCAAGAAGTCCGCAATTTTTGGTGGGAAATTCTACAGTACCCAATAAAATTCATTTTAGCGTGTAGGAGACACCGTGCCAATTTTAGTGTACTGCAGAAAACAATGTCAGTATACTAAAACTGATGTCAACTGAGCATGATTTATGGAATGACCACACACAAGGAGTCATCCATATATACGATGTTTAGACACACTATACACTACTCAGCATATTTATATCCATACTTGCTTTCAAAAAGTAGTACATCCTAATACTTACTCATTTCAATTCAGCTTCTTGTACCACAAAGAACCAAGAAAGTAAAACTAGGAACGCTAAAGAGGTTACTATCATTATAATGCCATCTAAGGTTTTTCAGTGGCCGTCTACACCATCACGTAAAAGTAGTTACGTGTATTTAATCTGAGCAATAAGTATGGCGAAAAGTGTTGCATGATGAATGAAAGTGTTTATAAATGTCTTGGAGTTTGAAAAAAAGTAGAATAAAAAGTAAGTATTTGATATGTTTTTTTGAAAAATATAGGCTCTATTTCATACACTTTTGAAAGTTTTGACAATATTTATCATTTCCAAGTTTTTCAAAAAATATCGCATCAAATTCTTATTTTCTCTCACAAAATCACAACACACCCCAAACTTCTTAACTATTTCCAAAAATCTCGAAATTTCCTAAACTCCAAATAGTATGATGAAAAATAACAAAAGTGATTTTTGAAAAATTTACTAATTTATCACAGTAAAAAGGTAAGAACACCTTAGCAACATCCGTCATCCTACACAAAACTAAATGGTTCCCAAGTTCAATTCTATATTAGATATAATTGGATTCTCGAATTGTGGATTAGAAAGCTTCAATAAGCAAAAGCTGTCAATAGAATTCAATCACATTCTATTTCTTAAGACATCCATCTATCGTATATAATTTGCATTAAAACCATATCTTTAATTAGCTTACACAATAATTAAAACGACAATATCAATATACTCTTAATTTAGTCCATGTAAGTAAGAGGCTCAAATCTTAAAATGTCAAGAAGTTGTTCGATCTTACAGAACACCTTCGATTAATCTTCTTGTCAAGGCCATGGGTAGTCCCATTACACTGTCAGTTCCTCCTACCTGTCAAATCATTCAAATCATCGTCTCAATATCAGCTGCAACATTAAACAACTACTATAACTTTCTACGAGATTGTTCATCTTGAATTATCCTAAAACAATTATGTTAATTCGAGAACTCTTATTTCTTGCACTATATTGAAATAAGCAATTTTATAGTTCCTTTAAACCATATTCAAGTTCTAGGGTATCGAGCAACTTTAGAGACCTGCTTTAAGATCTGGTTATCAAGAAATCCCAAAACCATGAAATCAAAACCTATTGTACATTTAATATATTATACCAAAAATAAAAATAAAAAAATCATTCAAAAAAAAATACACCAAATACTATAGTTCAAACTTCAAATTTTTACTGTTCTCAATCTCCAAACTCAAACCAAAATCCAAATCTCAAAGAAACAAACTCTTATCGGTGGATTTTATAAAAGGAATTTGGACCTCATTGATACAAGTAGTCTTAATCCATCATCTTAAACCCCATTCAAATTATTGGAATATAGGGTATCACAATTTTATTACTTGCCATATTGGCTATTAGTTCCGGATACAAATGTTGATTCAATTGAAAATCATCTATCGCATGAAATGGTAAGCATATGCTAATTGCCTAGAAAGAAATTAGATCTAATGCGCTTAAATTGTGATTGTTAGGATAGATTATAAATTGTTATGAAGGTAAGTCGGAATGTCGGATAACTAACCACTTCTTTGACATACGGCAAAATAAGAGGATGTTCGATAATGAGTCCTCCAGCTACTTTGAGCACAATTCCTTCTTCTAGCTGGAGACACAGATTACGGCACCATATGAATCTTTTTTTTCTTTTTTTATTCCCGTAAACAAAGAAAGGTGTGTAAATTAAAGCGTCAAAAAATTACATACCATGTTATCTATTATCTTGTCAGGTATATCATGGAAATAAATCTGCAAAAATCATGACAGAGTGTTAATAGGATAGGCGTGAAGGGAAAGAAAAGTAAAAGATGTGAATAGATAGATAACATAGTGGATGAAAAAGGATGACATTGAAAACATCTAACTCGACCACTTTCCAGTAAAAAAAGTAAAATTAATTATTTTTATATGTACCTCGACTTTGTCCCAATCCCCCTTCCTCAATCCAGTGCTAAGATTAGTGACAACAACAGAAGTCACAGTCGCTGCATGTCCACCTGAATAGCCTGAAACATGGATATGTAAGGTCTTTAGAATGAGAAAATGAGAACAAAGAGAAAGGATCGAAGATAGAGATACACTACTAAACCTTTCATGAATTCACGTGCCTCTTCTTTGCTCGAAGGCTTTTCCCTTATTGCGCCTTCATACACCACCACCTCCACATCAATTTTATTTAGTGTGAGATAATATTAAGCATGCAATTTAAAAGAATGAAACGGATAACAATTATCTAAAATATCAACCGGCGATGATAGTAAATATATATTAGATAGTTACATTTTTTGTAATCTAGAGAGTGAGATAAATGCTGATCAAGTGAAAATATATGAAACGGTGCAGATGGTCAAGAAAATATACATGAAATGAAAAATCACACAAGACAACACCATATTAGATACATTATATTATCCTAACAAGGTACCATTTTCTTCTCAAAGTGTGGATATAAAAAAACTAAAATCCAATGGTTATCGTAAATGGTTTCAAAGTTTCAAAGTTTCAAAGTTTGCACAAGGAATCATAATGGTTTATCATAAGCTACATGGACAAGTTGAAAAATTGAAGGCAAATGGTGCCCTCATTCAAAATAATTTACGTTAAAGAAGGAATGTCTATAAATCATGTTTCAGAAAATGGGTAAACAAGCCAAGGAAAGTAGCTTATACTTGGTCGCTAGTGATCAGCAAGGTAGGTCCTTCATCCCCTTTTGTTGTAAGTTTTGTTTGGGCATTTTCTACCTAATGCAAATTATAGTTCATGTGAGAGTGACACTTATAATAGGAAACCACATGAATCAAAAGAGACGAGCATTGGCCACAATTCAGTATAAAATACAAAAATACCGCAGAGCCCAAAACAGCCAAAAGCCATCATTATCCTAAAAGATATCAAATTCAAATTCAATAAATTATGGTTTCCTATGGCTGAGGGAAATACGGAAGAAAAATAAAGGAAATCATAACACAGTATGCGAGTACTTATGAATGTACAAAGGATTGTAGCTACAGACTGTTTATATTTATTGGCATCTACTATTCGACAGAATATATATGCACATACAGATTCTTCAACAACAAATGTAGAAAGAGATTTCGAGCATATTTCAGCAATTATTTAGGCTAAATGACAGACAGAAATCTATGGCATAGTTAGTGTATTGAAGCACATAAGTAGAAGGGAAATGGAGCATACGGTATCAGCTGCTATCACAACTGTAGGTTTGGCATCATTCTCCTGGTGTTTCTGATTCTGGAGCCGTTCTATTAAGGCATCTGCCTGAGACAGCAATGAATAACACGATTTTAAAATTTTGATGTAACTAGGCAATCAAGCAAACAGATAAAATGAAACCATTTCCAGACCATAAAGTAGCAAATAAACTTTCAATAATTTAGAGCACCCTATGGTGATCTATATATCAGGTTGTGTCTTTTTGTGTGTGTGTGTACTTTCGATCTTGTGTTGCAATTTGTACTATGAAAATACTTTTCATCCCTAAATCTAATTCCACGTTTATTTTCATTCAAAACATTATGTAAAAAACCTATTTTTCATTTGAAACTTCTATTAAATATGCACTATCAAAAACCTATTCTCATTCAAAATATCGTATAAGAAACTATAATTTCATTTAAAACATCACATAAAACAACTAATTTCAATTCAAAACATTGTATGTGAGACATATTTTCCATTGAAACATAAAATCCAACACTATTTTCATTTTAGACATTAACATGCAAAACCTGTTTTCAATTAAAAAAGTTTCACATCTAAAACAACTCAGATCGAAAACATCCCAAAGACCTTAACAACACAATGACTTCCTGTACAGTGTCTAAAGGCTCATGCAATGCAACTCGACCTCTTACTTCCAGATAACCACAAACTCTTCCAGCATTCTTCCTACTCTCATACTACTAAACCCACCTCTCGATGATTATTCCATTCTTAGCATCACCCCAAATTCACCACTGTCATAACAATAATAATCCCTCTCTTCCCAAATGAATTCCTTCCTAAGCCTTTCACTCTACCTCGGCACTACAATAGCATCAACTATCATGGGCTCAAGACTTCTCTGCCTCCAAAAATCTATGGCTTCCAAAATCCAAAGCAGCAGAGTAGTCCGTAAAGGCCGTTCGATGAAACTACCTATCCCTTGGAAAAAAAAAAAAAAGAAAAGAAACATGTACAAACACACACTAAATCATAACCGAATACCTTAGCCTCCCCGAGAGCCATAACCAAATCTTCAGGCTTCTCCTTCCGAATGGCCTTTTCATCAATATCTGCAGACTGTGCGCAACAGTAAAAACGAAAATTCACCCTGAATTGAAAAACTCGATAGCATACAATCACACTTACCATAGTCGTGAATTCATAGCCCATGTCGGCTACAATCTTTCTGCGAGCAACAGATGACGATCCTAAGATTATCTGCAACACAAACGGGGTTGCATTTCTTCAGTTCAGTGAAGAGGCGATGAAATCGGGAGGAAAGCAGCAGAAGAAGCGTTGAATGTAGGCAGATTGATACACAGACCTTGAATTGCTGTGGAGCAGATTCCATTTTAACTCTGGAAGATTTCAAGATTAGCAGAAGGCCAAAGATTTTGGAGGCGAAGACGGAACGAATCTTTCTACGAATGAATTTATACTTCCGCAAAGGCCCTCAACCTGAATATTCGCTCTCCTTTTTGGTTATTGGGCTCCATATTGTTGATTGGGCCCATTTGATGGCCCATTTATATCAATTAATATTTTTGAGCCCATTCAATATATATATGAGTTAGACATTATATTATTAATTTATAAATTAATAAAACATATTTTCTTTTTGTCCAGAAAATTTATATAAATTTAGTTAGTCATGGAAATTTTATTAATTGGATAAATAAATAATAAAAATAAAAAATTTATGAAAATTTTATTGAGAAATTAATAAAAAAAAGTGCCGGGGTAAATATATGATAAAATTATTATATTATTTATTAAATTTAAATATTAAATTATGAATAAATAAATATGTGTAATATATTAATTTCTTAAGTAAATTTATAATATTTCTTTATGTTTTTAGTAAAAATGCATAAAACATTATATATTTTATTTATTACGTTTAAATTTTTTTGCGTTAATTAAAATTTGCACGAAACATTCTCTTGTCCAAAATTGTTTTTATATTTGATTCTAAATAAATATCTATATATTTTATACAAATAAAAAAACATACAAAATATTTTAAATAAATTTTTTTAATAAAATAAATAAATAATTAATTCTACATTAACAAAATTAAAATTCACATAATAAATAAAAAATATAAAATTTGGTGCATTTTTATTAAAACTTATGTAATTTACCATAATCTTTTTTTAACAAATATATTGAAAATTTTCGCAAAGCAAACCCTAGAAATTTATCTTGAATATAATATATAAGTACCCAGATAACTTGACAGGAACAAGCAACAACGGAAAACATTCAGCGACACCCGGGAGTCCGACACCCTCCGCCACACGCCATCAAATAATTACTGTGACAAAAGATAATACTGTATCTCGTCAGGATCTGAACTCCTGGAACCTCCCCAACACGAATTCAAAAATCTATGGGCAACTGGACATGCCCATTCCAGACAAAGAAAACCACCCCCGAAAAAGTCCACAGAAATTTATCTAATCTGAGCATTAAAAATTTTGATAATATTATTATATTATTAAATCCCATCAACAGATAAGATCAAGACACACTGCATTATTACACAGCCCCACGTACCAAATTTACATTCGAAGATAAACATCATCGATCATATATATATATATATATATATGTATATACTGATCTGATTTAAGAATCTCTGCAAATATTAATTCTTCGATATCAATAATGGGTTCTCTTATGGCTGGTTGGGATTCTCCTGCTTCCAAGTCTAACCCTAATGAAGGTAAGAAATTAATATTTGATAATAATCTTAATTTAATTTAATTTTTTGTCTTTAATTATTATAATTTATAATTTGCAGCTGAGTTAAGGAGGAATAAGTCACTGACGAGAGACGAAATCGAAGCGTTTTGGAAGTTGAAGAAGCTGAAAGAGGAAGAACACTTGAAGGATATTTCTCTTCTGTCTCCTCGCACACAGGTATTAGCAGTAACTAGGGTTTCTTCTTTAGGAGGGCCTGGGAGCAGGGATCCCGTGGCTGTGTGCTGTCTGTCATACGCCGTCTGGAGTTCTTGCTCCGGGATCTCCTGAGAAGTGGGTAGTGACATAATCTGGGAGGGGCTGGGAGCACGGATCCGGAGTAGATCGGAGTTATCCAGTCGGCGGTGTTTATGCTGTCTGGACTCCTTGCTCCTGGACCTCACAGAAGGATTACATATATATGGTTTTGACATGTATGTATATTTGGTGCAGAAAATTATATTCGAAGAGGCTGTGAAGAGGACAGCTCAACCGGGAATTGAGAAGGAGCTTCTAGAAGCTGACACTGAGACAAGTCTCGAGAAATTAATACTCAAAAATGGCTGGTAAGTAAGGCTGTGTTTGTTTGGAGTTTTGAATTTGGATTAATGAATAATTAAAAAAATTAAATTTGAATAATTATTTTATTTAATATAAATAATATCGATGCTATGTTTTTAGACGAAAAATAAATTTTTAATATAATATAAAAAAATGTAAATATTTGATTTAATATTTTAGAGAAAAAAATGAGATAAAATCAAATACTCTCTCCGTCCCATGTAATATGGGTATATTACCTAAATCCAATAATTTAGGTAGAGTATAATTAGTAAGTAATTAAGAAGTGTATTAGTAAAAATAATTATTATTTAGTAAAAATAATTATAAATTAAGATTAAGATAAGTAAATAGTTAAAATTAAAAAATTATAAAATTTAAAATTTAAAATATAATTAAAGTGTATAATTATATTTCCAAAAATAAGAAAAATAAGTTATATGAGACGGACTAAAATAGAAAATATGGACAAATTATGTGGGACATAGGGAGTATAATTCAGCTACAAAGTATATATATTTCTATTATGGGATGTCCAATTACAAAGTAACTATTTTATTAAATATTTTATTTTTTTTCACAAATATCCTTACTTTTATATCACATAATTATTTTTATACCAAAAAACAAGAGCAAAAATGTCATTATATTACTTTTACTTACCAATTATAATTAAAATACTATTATTTTTTAATCTCCGCGCATCACAATATTATTTTTATACAAAAAAAAATAAGAACAAAAATGTCATTATACTATTTTTATTTATCTATTATAATTAAAATATTATTATTTCTTAATCTCTGCTCCAAAAGTAAATGTATATTTTATCCGTGTACAATATAAAAGTAAATGTATACTTTATCCGTGTACAACATAAGATTTACGAGTTAATTAATTACTAATTTTGTTTTTTTTATTACAAATCTGTACGTGTTGTTGGTGCAGGTGGATCAGCAGCACGTCGGCGTTTCTGAACGAGCCGCCGGTGATTGCGCCGGAAGGAACCGCGAACAAGTACACGGCGCAGTTCCACGTGGCGCAGCCGCCGTCGCCGGCTCCGGGTCGCGGCGGCGCTGGAATCAACGCGTGAGATGGAGACGGCGTCGTTTTGGTAGCTGGTGATGTGTCGCACGTGTGGAGTGTGGTATAGTGTCGGTGTCGTATAATGTACGTATTGGGATCGTATAGTATTATAATTAATGTGTTAATTGTTTGGGGTTTTTTGGATTCGACTACGAGTATGTATTTTTCGGAACTTCTGTGGTCTTCCTCCTCGTGTGCTTCGACTTCTGTCAGCGTGGCCTGTTGTGAGACGACGTCGTTTTCAGGAATGTAATTGAAGCTGAAATAGGAATGTTACGACTCCGTATACATTTTTTTTTTTTCTTTCGGAAGAAATTATATTTCCTGTCCACAACTTATTTATCTAAAAGAAATATAATTAGTAAATAATTAAAAATATATTAGTAAAAATAATTATTATTTAATAAAAATAATTTTAAATTAAAATTAAAATAATTATTTAGTATAATAAAAATTTAATAAATTTAAATTAAAAATTTTAAATTTTGAATTTTTTATAATATTTTTTTGAAAAAAAGATAGACAGAATAAGAGACACATACAAAAGTGGAAAAATGAGCATGGTAAGTGGAACGGACGGAGTAACATTTTGTTTGGATACAATTTAAAATAGGTAAACAGAAATAATATAACGTTATAAAAAAATTATTGGAAATTAAAAAAATTATGATACATAGATAGAGAAAAGTGTAAAAAACTTAATTACTACTCCATCTATCCGCCAAATTTATTCTCACTTTCTTTTTTAGTCCTTCTATTAAATTTATTTCAATACTAATTCTGGCTAAGTCAACAAATCAACATTTAATTATTATCTTTCATTCAATACTTATTTACAACAAATATCACTAGCTTTATTAACATTATCTCTTTATTTATTTTATTTTTTAACTAAATTTCCAAAAATACCCTAAACTACTTATCACTTTTTCAATAAAATATTTATTTTTTTAATTTTTGTGTCCTGTTCAAATAAACTAATTTTAATGAACGGATGGAGTATTATTTATTAAAATATAAATAGTAAAATTATGAAAGAAAAATTACATTGTGCATAAATAAATTTGAAATTTTAAATAATTTCACCGTAACTTTAAGAGATGGGAGAGTATACATATTTTTTTCTTTCATTTGGATTTGGGCTTCAAATTGTATATTTTTAATGGCCCTGAGCCCAATTAAGTAGAAAACCCCAATCCAGAGAATTTTAAAGAAATGTGTGATCATATTCTTTTTTTTAATTCTATATGATATTCTTTTAAGAAAAAAAAATAGATTAAGAGATAATTATATTTTATTAATTAATAAAATTTATAAGGTGATTTTGATATTTTTGTTTTTAAATGTACAAAATAAAATGATTTTTGTAAAAGTTGAAAGTAATTTGTTATTTATATATAAATCATTTTATAATATAAAAACAAAATATAGTACAATTGAGTAGAAGAAATAAATAAAAAATATATATATTTTCTATTGGAACCGAGAAAATATTTATTTTCAAATTTTTAATTATTTTTTTCAGATTTTTTAGGTGTGATCTATTAATAATTTTTTTAGTCCTACATCCTTCTAAAAGACACAAATATATTTATAAATACCTAAAACTCTTTATTTTTATAATTAATAATTATGTATAAATTTATATATTGTATTCTTTTTTTATAAAAAAAAAAAAAACAAACAAACTTATTATTTTGAGTAATTTATTCAATTATTTTACTATACCATCTTTATATTTTCTATAAAAATATAATTTTTCTACGATAATTTTTTTTGATTTTTTTTTTATTGTTTTCTTCAGACTCCGGTGTTACTTTACGAAACCTATAGTCGTTTTACTTATGAAACTATACGTGAGTGTTGAAACATCATTTGCCGGATCTACTTATGCATGAAGATGACATCCTTAACTTAGCTAGTCATAATAATAAAGAGCAACCCGTTTATTATTATTTTACTTAACCGTTATTAAAATGACAATCTTCATGTGACCCGTAATTAAAATGACAATCTTCATGTCACATGACCGTTGTCAATGGCAATGCTCACCATGCCCATCAAGTTGCATATAATTAGTGATGTTATAAAAAAAAATTATTTTTATATTTAATATGTTGTCAAACTCATTATATTTCTTGCATCAAAATGTAAAAAATACAAAAAGATAATCGTAAAAAATCCAAGAAAATTATAAAATTGAGGATGATGGTACTAAAAAAAAAAATATCATTGTGGAATATTTGTTACACTAATTGGTCAATGAAAAGTCAATTTGTAGAACAATTACAAGAGTGATAAATCTTTATGCATAATGTCCGAAGTGACGGGATTATACTATTTGATACCTTTAATTTGGCCTACACTAGAGATCAAAAAGTTTTATTCCTCATAAAAGAACCTCAAGAACTACCTAATTACAAGAAAAGATTGTGATGTTTGAGAATTTGGTTCAAATGTCTTATTAAAATGCCCAAAATTTGAACCACACATGAAGTATTTTGAGACTAAGGTCAACTTAATAGTGTGAAATAATTTTTTTCAAATAAGAGAAAATGCCTAACTAACAATGACGAAGCCAAGAAAAATAAAATCTCAAGTTCACTAAAAATTTAATGCGAAAAATAAGGAATATAACAAATTTGTACAAAAAGTGCACATACAAAAGAATAAAAGAAAAGACTAATAGAAATAATACGAACATAGTCATTTGTGAGATCCTTCGCATTAGTAACACATATGAGTGTTCATCAACACGGGGCAACTGCCACATCATCACCAATAAAATTTACTTCGTCTCGAAAATTCTTATTGAAAGGAGAACACTCCATATAAGAAATCAAACATACTTTAAAAATTTCCAAAATTAAAACGTGATTCTCAAACTAATGAGTCATAAGGTCCCAACTCTAAGATATATGTTACATATTCCGAACATCCACAAAGACTTAGTTTCTCCCTCATTACTATCTAGTCTTGATATTAAACTATTTTTAAATATGATATCGACTAAATATGTAAAATTTCTTAAATATATATTATCAAATCAATGAATTTTTTAAATTGAATATACTAGCAAAACACTAAAATGTAAATATAATAAAGACAATTTTTTCTTATTTACTTTATTCATATAATTTATATGATACTCCCTCCGTCCCGTGAAATTAGTCAATCTTTCTACTATAAGAAAAAATCATTTTTGTAACAAAATTTTTTTTGTCTCTAAATCTACTTTTTCCATTACTAATGACATTAGAGACGGAATTAGGAATGAAATTACGTTAGCTACGTGAACTTTTGGAACGGAATTCCGTTACAAATATATTATTTTTTTGTAGTGTTCCTCTTTTGTCTGTCCCACGAAATTAGTTACAGTTCATAATATAGTAATAATTAATAAATACTAATTACAATTACAAATTTAACTATATTTTATTCACTTATTAATACATCTAACTTTTATTGTTTGTTTTATTGTAAATTTAAAAGTAGGGCTAAAATTTTGAATAATAAAAATGAATAAATATTTAATATATCTAAATAAATGTTTATGTGATATCTAAAATTTTTAATTAATTTTTTAATATAATAAAAAAATATTTGATTTGATATTTTTCGAAAGAAAATTAGTTAATAATGAGATTTGATTTAAATTTTGATTTTTATATTTCATTAAAAAAATTCAGTTATCACTATTATTAAGAATAAAAAATATCTTGCTCAAATAATGCATGAAAAAATACTAAAATGTCAAAATTATTGTATAACGTAAATTTTTATATGATATGATACCGTACCAAATATTTTTAGTACAACAATTGCATATACTTTAGCATTGTTGGTATAATATATACCGAAAATATCAATACAGTTTGATATTTTAGTATTTGATATATCTGTCTTTATCAATAATTTAGTATATTGACACTAAAATAATTAATTTTCTAATATATTCTTAAAATTGTAAAATTATTTTTTATTTTTATACTTCAGCGTAAAATATTATATTATGATACCATACATGTAATTCGATTAGAAATGACTCGATACTGTATTCAGATAATACTGAACTATATAGTATACCACACCAATTTTTTTGGTATATTAAAAAAATATCGGTACAATACTAAAAACAATTCGGTATACTGAAATTTGACATTTTCGGTATTTTTTAGTATGGTATGTATTATTTCTGTAATTCAGTATTTTTTCATCTATAAATTTGGTATACCAAATTATTGGTACAATATCTCATTACGATAAAATAACATACTAAAAATTTATGGTACGATATATAAAATATGCATTATAAATTTTAGTATGTAATATCGAACTATCTCTGCCAACAATCAAATTCGAAAAATTTGATGTTTTGTTTATATTAAAAAATTTAGTATTACGGCTGTTATTTTTATATTTAAATTATTACAATTAATTTTTTTATTTAATTGCATAATTTACAATCAATATAATAATATTTTTTAAAAATAAAACAATTCAATAAATAAAACATTAAATTTAAATAAAATAAAATAAAATAAAATAAATATTTCAACTTTTATTTCAATATTTCATCAAATAAAAATAGTTAATATAACATTTTATTACATATATTGCATTAACTAATTACATTAATTAACTATATAAACCAAATTTTCTTAAATTCCGCTAAAAAAAAAAACGCGACTAATTTCGCGATACGAAGGGAATACTATATTGGGATATATATATATAATTGGCACAATAAGATTAATATATTTAAATTTACTAAAGAAAAATAGAGTTCAATGATGAATATTAATGTGAAATTTGTATTGAAACTAAATTAAAAAAAATAATAATTATTTATAAATATTAAAATAAAAACACTATGACTCAAAAATTAATTCATAAACTAATGTGTGTGATTTAAAAATCATCTAAATTATTATCTAAATTAAAAGAGAAAAAAGTATTTCATCGCATTTAACAAGTTTACATAATATTATTATCTCTATTTGTTAAGAACTTCAAGAACAAATTTGAGAATAAATTTGATGTTCAAATCAAAGCAATAGAAGTGAAGAATATATAGTTGATTTTGAAAATTTTTGTGTCCAAATGCATAATTGATCAAACAATGGCTTTGTATTCGTCGCAGTCAAATGGTATTGCAAACTACGAAAACCTAACATTGAAGAATGTAATAAATGTCATAATTATAAGTTCAAGATCACCTCAAAACATGTTGGGTTGAAGCTGTGTTGATGGTGAATTATATTTTAAACAATTTTTTTATATAAAAG